TGTCGGATGAACTTTATTTGAACTAATTCATTCCAATTACTAGTCAGGCCAAACCTACAAAAGGCACCGAACACCTTCTGCATGGCCAGAAATCCCATTTTGATTTATGCTGAAACAAGTGTTGCCAATGTTATTTGGAAGGGCACATCCCCAGAGCCAATGTCTGGTTGCTCATCTGACTCTGGCTCCATTCACTCTGCAAAAATAACCCGCTTTGACGCTGCTTTAACTGGTCTGGCTCAGTGCTATGGAATTCTGGGAAGTGGCGTTTGTTGTGGCCCCAGAGCAGAACCACAACAAATGCCACTTCCCAGAATTCCATAGCATTGAGCCAGATCAGTTAAAGCGGTACCAAACTGGGTTATTTCTGCAGTCTGGATGCAGCCTCTGTCACTACTGTGCTCCAAACCTTTGGCTCATTCATGCGATTCCACATGGCAAAGGCGAGCAGAAACGAATGGAGACAAATGAATGAATGAATGAAACGAAAGGAAACGGATGAAACGAAGGAGATGCAATTCTATAATGACCTTCTGCTCTCTGCAAAAGCAAGCTCTCAGGTCCCCCTGTGGGGGGGGGGAACAACTTTCTTTGCCCTTGGGAAGAAAGGATTCTTCTGAAAGCTCAGACCCTATACTTCCTTCCTTTGGAGGAGGATGCATGAGGGGAAGGGGTGGGAAAGAGGCTATTTCTGGAACATCCCAAGGATCTCATGACTTCATTGTCACATAAGCCCCTCTCCTCATCCTCAGATCCCACTTCCTTCTGCGTCAAAGCACTTCAGTGGCCTGGCTGGGGTCAGGATGAAACCCAGGACATCCGTCCCCAAAACACACAACAGCCACCTCCTGCAGATGACAATACAGTGGGCCCTTGGCATCCGCTGGGGTTTGGTTCCAGGAGCCCCCCGCAGATACCCAAATCCATGGATGCTCAAGTCCCATTCAACACAATGGCATAGCAAAAGGCTGTGTCATATATTAAATGGCAAGATCAAGGTTTGCGGACTGGAATTTAAATTTTTTTTTAAATATTTTCAAGCCACGGATGGTTGAATCCATAGACAGAGAATCCGTGAGTACATGCTTTGGCACACCGTCAGTTACAGATTCTGGACTCATTGGGGAATCCAAGATCCTGGGATCGAATGCCAGTTGCGGAGCTAGATGGGATCAGTGCACTGACTTGGCACAAGGCAGCTCCTTGGATCTTTGCATCCTCTTTCCATGGGGCCTAAAACACTCCCAATCATGCCAATAACCTGCACCTACAACTTTTCTCTCCAACACAGGAATGAACAGGCTTTGTCTTTCTGTGCTGGTTCCTTTGTAATAGGTGCCAGAGCTGTGTTCACAATCACCAGTACAGACTGGTTCATCACCTTACTGGCATTGCCCTGCAGAAGAATTAGCTTTGTTCAGCAAAAATAATGCATTCCATTCCCTGCAACTTTTGAAGGAAAGGTATCGATCTGCCTTTCCTACGTCTTTCTCATCCACTCAAATCAAAAGTCCACCTCGCTTCCCTGTCAAGACCGAGACCTGGCATCTACAGTCTGTTGGAGGCAAAATGCCTGGCATCCATGGCAATGGGCTAAGACCTCAAGGGCCATTTCCTGAATAACCCCAAACAGGAGCCATTCAGTCTCTAAGTGTTTCCTGACGGCTGACACCAAACAGGACAGAGTTCCTTCAGCCCTGCAACTTCAATCAATTCTTTATTACGGTCCAGAGACCCAGTTAAAACAGATTTACTGCTATCTGCTTGCCCACAATGTGCTAGGTATTCAAAATGAATGCCAACGTTGTTATGTTGGGTACCTTCGAGTCCTTTCTGGCTTACGGAGATTCTAAGGCTAACCTATCATGAGGTTTGCATGGCAAGATTTGTTCGGGGGGGGG